TCCCTTGCTCTCCTAAGCCTCACACCCTTAAGATTTCTTCCCTTGCTCTCCTAAGCCTCACACCCTTAAGATTTCTTCCCTTGCTCTCCTAAGCCTCATACCCTCTCTATTTATAGAAGCAAGAGAGTGGTAGGTAGGAGGTAGGTGAGCGGTAGGTGGGAGGTAGGTGAACGGTAGATGAGATGTGGTAGGTGAGCGGTACCACATTACAAAAGTGTCCTTTTACTTTAGTTCATTAATTGGGGGTCAAAATAACAGATTCTTTCTACGAGCTAATTTTTTGGTTTTTTTTTCTTTTCTTCTCGGGTTCTATTCTGTGGATTTTCTATCTGCCAGTGTTTATGGTTTCTACGTTCTTAGATATGAAAATAATTCTACTGTTCATGCATAGTTTAAACGACTTTTTTTGTTATCTTGTGAAGGAGAGCCCTGGATGTGAAAAGTGGTGGGGTTGCATTAGGTCCGGCGTAAAAGTTGTCTAAAAATCATGTCATGAATCCTTTCCCCATTTAGTGGGATGAAGGCTTGTTGTTGTTGTTGTTGTTTGTGAAGGAGAGCAGTTGATTGAATCTATTTATTAGGTAAATAACTACAAGATCGATAGTGATGAAGAAAAGAATATTTCAAAAGATAAAAAATGAAAATAAAACCCAAAATAGAATACAAATTTTGTGTAGTTTGGTAGCATTTAGTTTCTATTTTCCACAATTACAAAGAGAGAAATATTGGCTATTGTAAAAAGGTTGGCATCGACATTTTTTCATACTTTCCTTTATGTTTTGAGAGAGTAATAAGGGATCTAAACCAAGGAAAAGACTTGAATATAGATCAGTACTGCCAAAAATAAAAGATTTGAGTGATTGCATGTTTCACTCTGTTGACCTCACTTTTGGCGGAGGTGTAGTTTTTCTCCTCTTTAATAGCCCAGGGTCTAGCCGTAGGACTTCCCTGTCAACTACTCCTAGAAAACTAGCAAATGAGTCATCCCCGTTAGAAATTCTGAGCTTTTCTTCGCTCAACTTGACGCTCCGCATGGTAGTTTTGACCGCTATTACTTAGTAGGTAAGACTACCGTGGAGGAACTCAAGGAGAGTCCCTATAGGACTGTTGGCCTTAGGATTGACTGTACGCGTTAATCTGCCACTTTCTCGCTCTTCATCGCCTTATTTGATTAAGCTCAAGCCGAATTTTTGACATGATTCGGATCGCGACGCATTTTTGTCTCAATCGTCGACGGGGTTTCCTAAATGACTCCGGATGACAAAACGGACTGCGCCGACGCGTCCGGAACGTCGATTTTGCCTAAAGGGGACGTTCGTTTCACCGCGACACGTCTGGGAAAAAATACAAATTTAAGTGTTAATTATAATAATAAACAATATTTTATTATTATTATTATAATTAATACCTTATATTAAATCCTAACCTAATTTCATTATCTCCCCCCCCTCTGCTGAGTCTCAACCCCGTGTACCTCTACCCTAGCTTTGGCTCGCTCAGTTCCACCTGGCCCGCTCCTTCGTGCCGTTGGAGTTTCGTTCCCGCTCTCGCCTCGCGCACGCGGGACGATCCCGCGACCCATCTCTTATCGTATCTCATTCTCTCATTCTCTGCGAGGATCTCATCCTCTGCCTCTCGCACGCCCGTATGGGGCTCGTATGGGGGCGTCTGCTCCTCTCGATCCTTCGAATCATATACAATCTCCTAATCATTCCTTCTTCTGTTCTCTGGTCTATATGAGGCTTTCGTTGGTATGTTTCAGAGGGCCGAAAATCTCTGAGGGGGGGGAAACTCTGTCATTTTCTTTTCTCACTTCTTTAGTCTGTTGTACTTGGGTTGGTTTCCTCTTACTGTTGGAGG